CTCCTTTTCACCGGGGTCCACATCAGCCTCGCGGTTGCCTTCAAAGGGTCAAATGTATTTTTAGGACTGTAAATGTAACTACTCCTTCACAGTTAAGTGAGAGCTCGGTGCTGTGGCAGGGTAGGAACAAGGTGCCAGGCCAGATAAAACAAGGTGGAGGGCTGGATGCTTGTGTTTGGCCCGCAGGCCTTGTGTTTGCCACCTGTGCCCTAGTGAGTACTGTTCAAGAGGTTACACGGCCACCAACGGCACTAATGTCCAGACGGTATTTCTCTATTTGCCCAGGCATATTTCATTCAGGAACGTGTTACATTCTTTTTCACAGCGCAGAGAGGGTCTACTGCATCTTTCTAATCTGCCTAACCTTACAAAGTAGGAAATGAATGTAGTCTCAAATGAATTGTTCCTGGGAACCCAGGCTGGCTTCCAGTAATTGCTGATTCCCTTATAATTCACTCTGAAGGTTCGCCCACAGTCAATTTCCAGCCCACTGGTCTGCAGCATCCAGAGCTCACACTCCCCTCTAATATGCCTGCCTCCAATGTTTCCTACTGCATACAATTTTTTTTTTCCAGTGAAAGTTGAGTGATTCAGCAGTTTCATTTGGTAAATCTCAGACTACGGTGGAATAGAATCTACAGATAAGACCTTATTTAGAGCTACTAATTTTTTTCATGATAATGTCTTAATTCGCTCTGGGTCTGAGTTTCCTCTCCTGAGTGTCCATCTCTTACAAATGACCTATACAGTACCTTTGGTTATAATATTATTAATTGTGCAACAAACAGAATGTGGTAAGATACACAAAACTTGTGGCTCCGGAGGACAACTGGAAACTGCAGATTGTTTTGTTTTTCTTTTCCTGGTCTTTCAAAATACTGAGATATAATTGACATATAACATTGTACTAGTTTCAGGTGTACAATGATTTGATATTTGTGTAAGATTCATGTTTGAGGCTCACATTCCAAACAGGGGATTTCTGAGCCAAGGGTGTCAGAAGATACCTCTGCTCCCCTGCCCAAGCCTATAACTTCCGGGAGGTTCACCCATCCTCGAGGTCCTGATCTCTTCTGAGTGCAGTTTCCTTTATGTTTAGGAGAACGTCACCAGGGACCTCGTTTCAAACGCCCAGGCCCCCAAACATAAAACATGGTCTCCAATACTCAGAAGTCAATTGACCAGGGTGGGATTTTTTTCATGTTCCAAGGACAGAGATGTTGTTTTAACCATCAGGTTCAGTTCTGATGATACAAACGTACACACAAGGCACCAGAAGGCAGGGACCAGCATTTGTGTTTTAGGGCAGCAACGGACTCCTCTGCCCTTGGCCTTGATGAGTGGTGTTAGGGATAACGGGGAATGCAGATGGATTCTTGAAATTACTTCACAAAGTGTTGTTGTGCCTCCCCTCTCAGAGCCCCGACAGAGACGGCAGTCAGGAGGCGGGTTGGCATCAGGAGGCGGGTTGGCATCAGCAACTTGGCCTTGTCACTACCCCCCCCCCCCAGCCACTGTGGCCGAGTCTCTCACTGAGGGGCTGGTGGCTGTCTTCTCAGGGAAGTGGGGTGCATTGTGTTGCTTGTTTGGATTTTTTAAAGGTGTTATTCTAGGCACTTAACCAAGCAAATAAAGACACGCCCCTGAATGATTGAAATTTGTCAGTTTTATTTCTTTCTAAAGTTTGGACATTTACATATATCATATACATACTTTAAATCCTTCACTATTTCGCATGATTTCTATCACGTAAAAACCATTTCAATGCAATAAATTTTGTTGTCGTAAAACAACAAATTACCCCCAACTTGTAAAAACACAGGAACAGTTCCACTCGTGAACATTTACACACTAGGGAAGTGCACTGTATACCCCACAGCACCGATGCCACCAGGCGAGGGCCGCGTGGTTCAGGTACTGCAACACGGCGAACTGTAATCTTCACGTACAGCTCGTTTAATACAAAGTAAAGCAACTGTAAAATGTAAACTTAATTTTCAAAATAGTTTTAAATACTTTAACAATATCCACATAAATTACTGTTCCATTCAAAAGCTGACCACCACAAACGCCCCCGTTTTCTAGGAGATGGCCTGTCTCATGTCTCGTGGGTGGTGACGAGGAACAAGGTTCGGTACCACTAGCGGACCCCAGTCTGCTGACGCTGACAGTTTGGCCACTGAAAAGGAGGAGGCTGCTACTTTGTCACTAATTACTTTCACAATTTGCAGGGACATATGGCACCAGGACTGCAATGAAACTGAAATGATTGGCGGAGAAAACTTTGAAGGTAAAGGAATGTTCCACACTGCCAGTTCGTTTGAGCCACAGTGAATCTAGTCCAGTGAACAGGTCAGAAAGTCAAAAGCTTGCTTTACATGTATACACTCGTGTTTTTTGAGGATAGAAACTCCCTCCCCTCTGCCTGTCCTCCAGCCATCAAGGCTGACAGCATCAGCACTCCACTGGGTGGACTGCTGTTCCAGGAACGGGCTCCCATGACTTGAGGTAGAAGAGAATGCGGGGAGGCATTCAGGCCTTTACCCGACAGCTCTCCCCTGGACTGAGCAGCGTGGCTAGGCAGTGAGCTTCGTGTTCCTTGACCCTCCCTGCAGAAATGGAAGGTTTTCCATTTCCAGAAATCTGAGTGCAAAGGCAAAAATATCTGGTCTTGGCTTCCATCCGAGAATTATCTTTATGCCATTGTCACGTGTCACCACCCCCAGTGACTCAGTCCCTCTCAAAGTTGACATCTGGCCTCAGCAGGGTCAGCCCACTAGGACAGCTGGATTCCTAAAAGAGCCTGCGAAGCCCAGGGTGTGGAGTGGAAGGCCAGGCGAAGCTCCTCTTTGCAGAGAGAACACGTTGCCACCCTCTGTGGCCCCCGGCATCAGGGGCCGGGCGAGAAGCCTCAGACCTGAGGTGCTGCCCTTCACTGAGCGTGTGGCCGGGACTTCGGGTCTGGTGGCTTACCGAGGCAGGCTCACAGGGAAATAATCAGTGAAACTCCAAAATTCTCTCCATTAACCAACATTTTCAGGAATTGAAGTTAAGGTGCTTATTTTACAACACTATACATAAGAGGTTAGCACTCTACCCTGCAAAGGGAAACATGTTTTAGCTAGGTTCCTTCTCGTGGTTGCTGACGGAAAAGTGCACAACTAACTGTTCAGCAACCTTCAGTCTGAGCTCTCTCGCAGCAGGGCAGCGCCGAGGGGAGAGTGGACGAGCACACAGTGCTGCCAGGGAGAGTGCTTCGTCGCCTCTGCGTTTGCATGTGATCTCCAGAGCAGGCAGCAATGCCGCCTGGAAAATGGCGCATACCAGCCTTCTGGAACTTCCCCCGGCCACTGGGGGAACTCTGGAGAGTGGCTGCTTGTGAATGACAAGCAAGCCATCAATGTGGTGGTCCGCCAGAAAGGACGCGATGTGTATCCCCTCATTTGTTAAGATGTAGTGCGCCTCGAAATCACACACTAGAGCTCGAACTCCTCCCTGCCCTGGGAACACATTCCTGTCAGGCAATCGCCACCCGCTCTGTGCATCACTTCTTTAGAGCGCTCTGGCCTTGGTGTCTCCGGTTTGTGGAACTTAGGACACTCACTATGTGTGCATACATGTGTGAGAAGCCTAGATGTGTGACCCTTTCCCCTTACACACCTACTGGGACAAAGCAGAGGACAGAGCACATGCACTTCTATCCCCAAAGGAAAGGTGACTAGCTCACACACACCCCCACCCCCACCCCTACCCCCACCTTTCATTTGGTCTAATTACTCTTGTTTCTATAGCTTAAAAAAGTATGCTAATGGCATTAAAAATCAATGCGCATATACACTCTCTGCAGAGTGGATATTATTATCCATGCCAAATGGTGACTTGGCTTTATAACCTACATGGCTTTATACTGAAAGTCCAAACATTTCAAATAATTAAGGCCCAAAATGAAGCTTTTCTACTTTTGCTACTCCTGCTGTATATGATTCTTGAATCAAATGTATGTTTTTGCAAAGCACTATAATTCTCAGAAGGAAACACAGTCTTGCAGAACAAAGGCCCTGCTGATCTGTCACAGAGCCAGTGCACCGCACGTCAAGAACAAATTGGGAAGTGCGATATATTTGCAAAAACAGTTTGTGACTGTAAGTTAATAAGAAAAGCTCAAATGTAACTACCAACACACTATGGTGGCCCGGAGCCGAAGATTAGTCTCCCACTCCACACCTCCCATTCTCCGCACGGGGATCAGGTACGAGAACATGAGGCCGCATGTGTAAACAGACACACGGCCCCCAAGCACTCACTCAGAATACACCAAACATGCTGGTTAATAAAACTGTAATCTCTAGTCATCTATGTACATGCTGTCGGATAAGCAGTAAGCTCAAACAACTAAGGCCAGTGGCTCTTCTTTGGGGAGAGGCAGGAAAAGAGACTTAAGTATAAAAATATTAAAGAAAGTTTTAGCCTGGTCCATAGCTTGTCCGAGAATTCTTTCACCTGTGACACCAGACGCCAGTCTGTGCAACCGCGAACCTGGAATACAGTACCCAATCCTGGGAAGCCCTGATACGCCTTAGCGTGTGCACTGTTTCTCTAAAGTAAAGGAGGAAGGATGTGGCCCAGGGGGCGTGGTTGGATCTACTACGAAATAGACACAGGCACATAAACGAGACGGTGGGTGCTTATTGAGTTCTTCTGAGAGCTCCATTGTCCTGGGCTAATTACAACAATAAAGAACGTGTGCTTCACAGCATCACATTTTGTAAAAAGCCCAACACTGCCAGTGTGGCTTTATGTCTAAGTGCTCTTAATACTGAAGTTGCTAAAACAGCCATTTTTGTTTGTTGATTTTTTCCCCTTTCTGTGATCCCAAATTATAATGAGCTACCCCTCCTTGGTATTGTACACAGCACACTGAAATAGTTTCACAAAGTTAGTTCAGAGTCATTTTTGCCCTGGTGATTCAAAGCTCAAAGATGAAATTTTCTAGCATAAAATCTTATTACAAAAATTTAATCAAAATATCATTTGAATTTAAGTTTAATAAAACAGTACCACTATATATATATTCTCAATAACTGCATTATATACTCAATCCTATGAGGTTTTTACTTGCTTTTCATATCACACTGGTTATTAAGGACAAAAATAAATTTGATGTACATATACCATATACTGATATACAATCTACACATTGATACATATACATACATACAACCATAAATACCCACAAATACAACATTGGCAGGAGACAGGAAAGCATTTTCTTTGATGTCTGACATACTATCTATATGAATATTTTCCAAAGGCCTGAAATACGAGATACACACGTGAATTACACAGATGAGCCAAAGAGACGGAAGGAAACCTACTATATATACAGTTACTTAACTTGCAATATTTTCTTGCTGTTGCATTCAAGTCGACAAACTGTCATGCAGATTCAAGTATTTACTGACATTCTTTCTGTAAAGACATTCTCTCTGCATGCACTGTCTTAAGCAGAAGGCCGCCCCCTTGGGCTTTGGATACTATAGGTACAACATGAGAATGGCAATGACTTTGGACTTCAGTCCTCCTTGTGAGAGAGACATTGAAAAGGAATCTGAGAGGAGAAGCATTTTTTGGGGTGAATTTTGCCGTAAACTACTGATCTCTGAAGTCCTCTGGATGCCTTGACGGTGGAAGATGGCAAAAGGCTGGTGGAGAGAGGGGCTGACCTGGGGCAGACTGGTGGCGGGGCCTGGGGCAAGAGACAGCCAGGAAGCTCTGGGGCAAGGCCGGCCCAGAGGCTCACCTGCCTAGAAAGGTGACTGAACTTTTTTTGTCAGAGGAAGTCAGATGCTCTGTGAGAAAAGCAGGTGCTACTTAAACCCCAAACCACACTACTCCTCATAGCTAGACTCTACTTTTAACAAGTCCTGGGATGCCACACTGGTTCTTTGTTAACCAGGCTAATTCAACAATGGGGAAACATCCTGTCATTTGAGAAGTGAAGGGATTGTTCGCTGCGGAAAGAAGGAAGGTGGCTCCCAACCAGCTGAAACCTTGACAGGGTCCCCGAGAGCTAAACGACAGAGGTTTGCACCCAGAAGGCTGATGAACTCCCTGTGAATTCAGGCTTAGAAAAGCTTAACTGGTGGCTACAAGAAGAAATGGTGAAGGAATCGAATTTCAAGGCAACTCACTAAACCCAAGAAAGTCTTGGTAGTTCCACAGTGGACAAACTTGTTTAAGGTCGATCAGGGACAAGAGCAGAGGAGGTGCAGCTCCTGTCTCAGGCCCCGTCTCACCTCCGAACATCTTCCGGGCTCTCTCCCGACGGAGGGAGGGGCAGGCGGGGGCCAGCGGAGGACTCCACACCTCTGTGCTTAGGCGGCAAAGGGCCTCCTTCCCTGCTGTTGTCTAGATTCTTCTCCAGCCTCAGAAATTCTGAGATTTGGCCACAGGGTGAAATACGAACTCCAGCTGGCTTGGCCTCAGAAAGCCAATCAACTTTCCTCTTGCAGAATTAACTCCCTCACATCACTTTTAACTGGGAAACAGTCCCCATCTTCTGAGTTAAGGCAGCAGTCAGAGAAGCACAGAGGATCTTGGACAGCTGCTTCCTCCCCGGGAACTGCAGTGCCACCAGATGACTCTCCCACACGCTGGTCTTACTGAGACTAATTAAAATGCACAGAAGTATTGCTTGGCTTAATTAGGCATTGCTAAGAGTTCATACTATGTTTTTTAAAAAGCACACTTCAATTAATATCTATGGGCTGGCAATAAAATAAGGACTCTGCATGCTAGTAATTAAGTTTGGATTACTGACCATGAATCCCTGACACCTACCCGTCAAAGTCAACATGTGAGGTGGGGGAAGACTTAATACACGGGCCACCTCTGTGGTGAGCTGTGCAACGAGACTATCACCCAAGTGTTCTGATGACTGTTAAGATTTCCTAGACTGAAAACTAATGTCAAGTGTATGTATGTGAAGAAGGATAATGCTTTATCACATGGAGAGCAGTCCCAAGACTCCCGAGGCTGAGCAGTGGGTGAGACATGGGCTGGGTGGGGAGTACCTACAGGGGGAGGAGGAGGGGGAGGGGGAGGGGGAGGATAGCTCCCTGTACCGTGAAGGGGCTGTAGGCGGGGCTTAGCTGGGAAAGGAATGTCTTCAATGTCTTCTGACTTGATACCATAGGAAAGAAATTACTGCAGAAGAAAATGTGCTTGGCTGTGGGCAAGAGTTTCAAAGTACAGTCGAACCAGGGGCCATTTCTTCCTACAGGATAAACCTGCAGCCCACCAGGTAGGCTGACAACAGACAGTAACCCAGAGGCCACCAGGAGGAGGTGCTCACAGCCCGGCTCCTAAAGATGGACAGCACCAGGCCAGGGCGATGTGCCATGCTGGCTCTCCAAAGAACCTTGCAGTTGTTTTTAAAGACAAACTGTGCAAACACAGTGTACTGCAGCTTCAAAAGTGCCTTTTGCACCCAATACTCCATTAGCATGTCCAGAAGTTCCTGAAGATAACATCAGTGAGTCATATCACGGGGATGAGGCTGCCAGGCTGACGCGAACCAAGTGTTTCAGGGCCTCGGCACTCTGCACGTCAGACACACGGCAGCTCGGTACCATTCTACGCTCGTCAAGTACTCTAAGGAAACACACAGAGACGTGCTGTGCACACAGACACACTCACACGGTGGGCAGACACATTCGAGCCAGTTGGGGATGTCTGTTTTCCTCCAGTGGCTGAAGCTCAGAGATGACAGGGTCTGGGTCCCCCTCTCTCCCCGGCTCAGGACAGATATCGAGGCAGAAAACAAACTGTCTGATTGCTCAGATCCTAGGGAGGAAGACAATTCCCTTGTGGACATCCTGAATCCAGTCGAAGCTACAACAGTGAATCAGGTCCACACACCACACTGGTCAACGTCCTGTCTGAGACATAAATGCAGTCACTGTCTTTACCTAAATGAGACAGAGGGCTGGAGGGAGTTTTTCGGAGGTGTGGCAAAATCCTCATCTGAGAACAAGCAGCTACAACCTTGGAGAGGGGTTTCCTCTTTCCAGGCACCAGCAGAATACAAACACTGATAGAGGTGAAGGAAGGGAAGGTGAATAAATAACCCAGTAATTACATGCCGGAACAGCAGAACAAGAGCCACTGGAGACCGTCGTGGTTTACGGCAGGCCTCCGCTGATTCACTGGAATCATGCAATTCACGCAGAGTCCGGGTTCTTTGGTCATAGTACCTTTAACTAACAAACTGAGTAGAACTAGAGCAAACTTCTGTGGGAGGAAAAGAGTATTCTATGCGATTCTGTTAGTCCTGCAGTTGTGGAGATGACAGCTTTAAGGGTTGCAAAGTTTCGAGGCTTCGTGACCAGAAAGTTCTAGGTCACAGTGGGCTCTACTCTCACTCCCATCTCTTCCTGTGCAAGAGAGGGTCCTTTTCATTGCCCTGAATTTCAAAGGGATGGTCACTGGAACGAGCTCATGACTTAAAGGTCAATAGAACTATTCTGGGTAGATAGAAAGAAATGATTTAAAATAAAGTGTTTATTTTCAGGAGAAAGTTCAGTAGGAGCAGAGAGAAGTGGCTAGCAGAAAGACCAAGAATGAACTAAGTAACTCTGTAAATGCAACCAGTAGATTCCTCAGCTTCCCAACCATCACTCATTCAGACTACTTATTACTTTCAGATTGATTTTAAAGAGTCAGTATTCCATCGTTGGAAAACTGCAATTTCGTTTTCCTCTCTTACTGTTTTGCTTAAGATCCCACTATTCTTACAACCATGCCTTGGCATGTGTAACTCCCTGGACAGCAGGGTGTTGACAGCGGAGATGATTCTGGATTCCTAGTCTAGACCCCGTGGGAGTGAGGTAACGATTTCTACAGACTGCACACACGCCTACCGCTGCAGCTCCCAAGAGCTGATTGTTGTCACAGTTCTTTAGAAAACAAAATGAACTTGGTGTCATCTTTCCTCAACTTTCAATGGCAAAAAGGTTCTGCTTTCTCTTTCCCTGCTTGGCTGAAACGGACTCCGCGCTTGAAGCAAGCCGACTGCTTTCTTAGGCCAGTCCGGCGGGCCGAGATCTTCTCACCCCAGCTCCCTGCTGCCAGCAGGGTCAGGACTCAACAGTAAGTGCTAATGAGATGCACGCATGGCCACACCGCCCGCGGGCCACATTGATTCCCAGAACTGTCATTCGGAATTGAACTTCTGAGAGTGCTCAACTCTACCTCTGTGACCAGCTGAGATCTCACATATAAAGGTTTATATTAACTCTGGCTAGAATTTACTAAGCTACAAAGTTTGTCCAGTTAAGTGTTTCACAATGGATTAAATTTTTTAACCTTAAAAAAAAGTGTAACAGTTGGTTTGAGAATACATAACAACTGAGCAGAGTGCAAACAAGAGAAAACCAAAGGAGAAGGGACACATAATTCCCTCTGAAATCATGATCCCCTCCGCCTCACGAAAAGGTGCATTAGTTATCAAGTTGCAAAAACCATCAAAGCAAAGAAATCAAGAGCAAAGGGACAATCTGTACAGAAACTAACAAAAAATGTACAATAGAAAAGGTTACTAATGCACCATTTAGTCACAGACTATTTTTTTTAAATATATTCACGGATTTACCAGAAAGATCTTGAAAAACTCTATTTTATCCATGACCAGCACTTTCCTGGTCACAGGTGGATTCTAAGTAACTTTCTGCTTAATGCTGGGTGTTTCAGGCCGGTGATCTTTCCTCTCTGACACATTACGCTTGACTTTGGCAGTGACCGGAGATGAATCTGGGTTCAGCGATGGACTCGAATGCGACTTCTTCAGTCCCGCGGCCTCACTCTCACTGTTACTCAGGAGCTTCTTGCCTCCTTCTTTCAGAATGCTGACGTAAGTTTCGTAACGGGTTTGCTGGAGGGGAAGTCAAAGAAGAACGACAGTCAACGCACCATTCACAAATGGGCATGCACAACACACCTAGCGTGTTAGCTGCCTGGACGGCATGACTGGCTGATGAAGACTTGACTTCATTCCCCAAAGTGGGCAAAAGCTCTAGGAGACTGATGGGTTTGGTCATTTAGGTAAGAGATGAAGACAGAATTTTAGTTCTCATTTGCTCTGCATTCCGAAGGAATGTAGGTGGAGGAATCATGCTTCCTGAGCACTCGGGAACAAGAGGGTGTAGGATGGAGGAGCTGTAACCCCTGGTTTTTGGTAACTGGATGGCTCTCAATGGTTCTGTGCTGCCTGTACTCACTTGGATGCCCCTCACAGGACTTAGGCAGCACTTGAACCTGGCTTGGGTATGGTTGTTTACTCTCTTTTTTGCTCCCCAGAACTCTACAAAGGAAGAATCAGTCTACAGTGATTCAACTCGAGAAGATCACAATGCTTTCTAAGAGCTGCTCTGGGTGTCCTGCCAATCTTCAAAATATTTTCTGATGCTTTTCTCACTCTACATTTTTTCATCAATTGTTTGTTGGGTATCCATTGCATTTTAAACAGCTCTGGATTCTCTCATCTCTGAGCATCTTTGTGTAAGAATAATAGAGAAGAACATGGCAGAGATTTTTTTTCTATAACCCTAATTGATGCTTTTTAAAAGTTTCTGAGTCCCTTTTTAGAACCATTATATACACTGCAAATTACAGAAGGGTCTCAGATTCTTGATTTGATAGATTCTAGTCAAAATAAGTCTATCACTGTATTGCTTCAACACAGAAGTCCCAAAGTGTTTTATTTCTAAACAAAAAAACACATGAGTTATAAACTGTCCCAACAAAGGCAAGCAGATTCTGTTATGACTATAAACCTTTTAGGAACTTTTCTAGTCAGACTGAGATTTTTGTGTACCTCAGTTTTAAGTTAGTAATTATAAAGATGAAGCTATGGGAAGCTACTCTTTCACGTTCTGTCTTTCAAAGTGGAAAAAAGCTTTGAATCATTAAGCTCGCTCTGGGTTTGGTCTGTGTGGGGGCCCCAGGCGGGTGATGGAGATAACATCTGTTGAATGGCCACATACTAGCTTCAGGTCATTCATACATTAATCATATACAATTAGAACATTAGCATCCTTCTTTTACAGTAAAAGGAATAGAGGCAGAGAAAAGCACAAAGTTCCGAGTTAGCAAAAAAGTGAAGCTGGGATTTGAATTGAGGAAATTTGACTTCAAAACCCACGTTCTTAAGCTATATTTCCCTCTGGCAATGGAAATACACACCAGAATGCAGTGTTAGGATGACTACTGTGACAGACACTGTTGGTTTGGCCAATCAAAAGGATTCGCAGCCCCCTCTTCTCTTATGTCCCTCCCACTACAAAGGGTTCCCAAACCCAAATACTTGCTTTCCCAGCTCCTCTGTAGCTAAGATGGGCCATGTGATCTTGTAGCCAATGAGATGTAAGAAGAAGTGTATTGAAGGGCTTCAGGGAAAGCAACTGTGCTTCCCGATGAAAGGGATAGGCTTCAGAGGAGAAGCCACTGGTGCTAAAGCTTCACTCTTATTTCTTCCTTGACGTGGATATGGTTCTGAAAGCTGCACCCTGAGCCATGGGCAGTGGGCATGAAGACAAACGAACCACGCGTGAGGCCTGAGGGAAATGGAAAGACAGCAGGAGGCTGGGTTCTTGAAGACACAGTGAGCTGGACCCAACTCTTAAGATTCCCTAATACCTCTGAATGTGTATCTTGTTAAGTATGAACGATAAATATCCTTGGGGATTAAGCCACTTGTCCATCAGGTACTGTTAATTGCAGCTGAAAGTATTCCCAACTGATACATATTCTAATTTTTGTTAAGAAGTAATGAATAGAATAAAATACTCAGCTTATCTCAGAAAGCTATGCAAGAGTTTGATAAGGGCATCTGCTAATTAAAAAGATGTCACCAGTATTACACATCACTCTGCATGTCAGTGAAATCAGCAACTGAACTAGACAGCATTCAGAGGGCATACCACAACAGTTCCAAAGTCCCAGTCACTCTAGAAAAGTACTACTTAATCTCTCTCTAAACTGCCTTGGTGGCAAGATTAAATTGCAGGAGAGAATTACTCCCAGTATGAATCAGATTTAGTAAAATGATTCAGAAAGATTCAGAAAACCAGAGAAGGCATACTATTTCACAAAGCTGGGGCATTTATACAATGAAAGGGGTATGAAGGACAATTTTTTTGAGATGATCTTGAAAGAAGACAAAAGCAGAGAAGGTGACAGGGCCCATTGTCTCCTACCTAGTCTCTGAAGAAGCTGATACTACTAGGAAAATTCACCTGAAAAGTACAAGAAGAAAAACCACTTCGCCTGCTCATTCCACAGCTCCAGCTGCAAAGTTGTTGTCCCAAATAAACTACATCCATGAGTCAATCAACAAACAAAAGGCAAGGCATAGATGTGTGGGAGGACTTGAGTCATCAGACAGAAGGAAAGACAAAGCAAAGCACAGGGCATGAAGGGCCTGAAAATGAGGGGTGCTCAGTCACTGCTACGAGAAATAAGAAAAAGGAAATTAAAGTGGGTTCGTGAACTTCAAATGGCTGTGCTCTATTTCTGAGTTACAAAGGCTACAGGGACTGGGCTATGAAACCCAGTAATACAGATTTGCCTTCCACATTCCTTGAAACCAAACCAAATGTCCCTTCAAAATATTCGAGCTAAACACACCTTTAATCTGAGAACCATTCAGTGGGCACTGGTTTCTACTCTGCCCTTCCCGGATTACAGACTCATCTCAATATGGACATCCTCCATCCAGAGGGTCCCCCCACCCCTGCTCCCAACCCCCACCTCAACATTGCCTCTGGATGCAGAGGCATTCAGCTGTGCATGCAGTCCCGAACAGCCATGGGAATGAACCTAATTTCAGAAGTTGCTTCTTCATTGAGATCTCCTTTTTTTGTGGTGGGAAAAACATCTTCTGGGAGCATTTATTTCCTTCTTTACACAGGGAAGACATGATTCTTATCTTTTTTTTTTAAAGACCAACTGTGAAATTTAAGTTTTAAGTGAAAGCTGGTGTGTAAGTAAGGACGAGTAAAGCAGCAGCAGGGACTGTATTTGTAAATCATGTTTAAAGTATCTGATACACCAATTCAGAGACTAACACCTTGCTAATCCTGTTCAAATGGTCAACCTCAGCCAAGAAGCCGGTGTGCGATATCGTGGCAGCCGCTTGCGGCTTCCCAGCAGCCAGGCGCTAATGAAACTGTGATCTTTACGGAGGATGTCAGTGTGCTGTGCCCCAGGAAGGGGATAGTGCTACAGACCGGACACAATAACCCTTTCCCTCCTCTGCCGGTCAGCCTTGCAGCGCGTGGCCTAGATTTGGCCAATGACATGTAAGAAGTCAACCAGGGTCCTTCTGTGAAAGCAGCTTTTGTGACCCTGATAAAAAGTGGGAGAACACAGGATGTGAAACTAAGAAAGCCACGACAAGACCATAAACCGGTCAGCATGGAAACAAAAGAGCCGGTGTGCCGGGGACAGTGAACTGGGAACTTAGAAAGATTATACAACCTGGATGGCAGCACTTAGCAGCCAGTAACCAAGCACTGCCAGGTTTCTCACGTGAGATAAAGAATGTTTATACTGTTTAATTAAACACTTGGTCACATTTTCTGTTATTTGCAGCCCAAAGCATTCTCTTAACCAATAAAATGGTCAACACTCAGCTTGGTCTCATGCATTAAAGAAAAATCACAACCGAGTTGTACTTGCACCTCCTGCTTTCATTTTATTTAGGAAAATACACTCATATAACTGATTAACAGGCTTTGGTGTGATGTACCTTTGTTGGGTTTTATCTGAATATTTAACAAATTATTGATGGACATCACGCAGTATAGGCTGTACTCTGGCCACATAATAACTATTAAATCAATGGCTATATTATTATTTCCATTAGTGGTTTTATATAAATTGCTGTATCTCTATGGATGCTAGAGTACGATTCTCTCAGTGCTTCCCTATAAGCCTGCAGCATGGAGGGCACCTAAGAGATTATAAGAGTTAACCAAAATATTGAGAGTTCTATGCCAGTGTTTGCAGCTAGCTGGTGAGTATCCTACCACTGAGAGAAGAGGCTAGAGATACTTCTAAAACCCTGAAGCCAAAAAATCTGACAATAAAAACTTTGCTCCTTGATTCTTCTCTTTCTCTAATACCTCACAACCACTCTGTTGGCAATTCCTATCCCTCTGTTTTCAGAATATTCTTAGAATCACACCATTTCTCACCACCTCCACCACTTCCACCTTGGACAAGCAGCATCATCCTGTGCCTGGCTTATTGCGACTGCCGCTTGACAGGTCTCCCTGCTCCTGCCTTGCCCCGTTCCGTGCACTCTGTTAAAATGTAAGCTAGAGCGTGCCACCTCTGCCCCAACTGCTCCAGTGGCTTCCTACCTGCAGAAATCCTTCCCAACACCACATCCTTCAAACGGCCCAGAGAACCCTGTTCCGGCCAACCCTCTTCCGCCTCTCTGGTCTAATCTCCCAGTGCTTTCCAGGATGCACTGCGGGTTGGCATGCCCCTCCCTGGCTGTCCCTGAGTACAGCTGCGCACTCTTGCTCTTGGAACCCTTGGCGCTGCCATTTCTCTGCCCCATGAGCAGTTCCCCAGGAATCCACGGGGCGTAGTCCCCTCCCCTCCTGCGCCTCTTTCAGTCCTGACTGCAATGTCACCTACACATGGGGGCCTTCCCTGGCCAGCTGCACCTGAAATCCTAACACCTACTCATATTGTGGTTTATAACTTCATTTTCCCCCTTCACACTTCTCACCATCGGCCTCATATTCATCGAAAAAATCTTGTTTTTCGTCCCCCTACAAATACTTGAATGTGATGGCATGAGGGCAGGGGCTGTAATTTTGTTTACTAATATATCCCCAGCATAAAAAAACACATAGTACA